AGAGAAATGTTTAGATTAAAAGATATCACGATTTTCCGACGCCAGGACGTGATATCTTTCAAAATCGATAAAAAGCGAAATTACTCTGAAATGGTTGAGAATCGGACCATGGACAATATGAACTTTTTTGTTCATTTTAGGGTGAAGAATCTACTGGAGAAGTTTGTAGCACGAGTAGCAATTCACCCTGTATATATGAAGGTGAGCGAGAGAAAGATCGAAATAAAGGGAGCTTGAAATAAAGAGATAGAAAGAATTAAAGAAAGTGATGTGGTGGTGAGTGTGATACAGAATGATAAGGGGTGAGCAGTAAAGAGGGAACGAGAACACAGGCAGAGAGAAAGAGATAAAATAAAAAAAAGAAAGAGAGGAGAGGGAGTGTATGTGTGGGAGAGACAGTGTGAGAGGGAATGAGAGAAGGCCAGCATTATTTCTCAGCCGTGATATTGTCTACTACTTTAGCATTGAATTTAAATTCTGTGCTCAAATGAGTGTGTGTGTGTGTGTGTGTGTGTGTGTGTGTGTGTGTGTGTGTGTGTGTGTGTGTGTGTGTGTGTGAGTTAGAGAGAAGGAGGGAAAGAGTAAAAGTTTGACAGTGTTAGGATGAGGAATAGAGCGGAGTTTCATTTCACGGCGCATGATTCTCGATTTTACAAGACCTTTCAGTCATAATGGTTTAGTATAACTAATCAGCCGCAATTATTGTCTACAGTTCAGAGTGATTTCCTTGGTTGCCTGTATTAAAACAGGAATGTCATATAAGATAAGAAAGTGAAAGAAAAGCAAAGCGGCAAAAAGGATAGGCAACAAGAAGATAAGACAGACAGAACCGTAGTAAACATTGGACAAAGAGGTCGAAAGATAAATGGGAATTAGGGAGCGAATTGAAGTTTAGAAGCAGCCAAGGCCCGAAAAGAAAAAAAAGCCCAGTGGGCACAGGTCAAATAGAAAGAAAGAAAAGATAAGGATAATACAACAATGGCAATTAGAGAGAACAAGTAAAGAAAAAACATAAAATGATTGGTAGCCAGAAAAAAACACATAATAGAAAACAGATAATGAGAAAAAGAAGGAAGCAAACAAACTCATTTACACTTGATCGATTGAACTATAAAACATAAAAGTTCATAAAATCAATTAAACTAGTAAAACATCCGTAATGACATGGATCTACCAATTTTATAGTTTTTAGGGCGATTTTAATGAAAAATGAAAATAATATACCATACATTCGTACATGATAGAAAAGAAATGATTGAAGGGTCCGAAATCAATATAATCAGTATAGATAATCTAATTGGAATAGGCAAATATTGATGTTGGCAATACAACTAACTAGAAAAAAAAAAGAAATGAGGAAAAATTTCTTCTCTTATTTTCCAAATATTATTAAATAAGAGTAATTCAATTAAACGTATTGTCGTCGGCTTCAAACATAAAAACTGACGATTTCAACACATAAGCAACAGCAGCAGAATGATTTTCATGACGTATTAATCAATAGTCAAGTCTTTTCGAGCTTTCAAAACCTCTCTGAGATTTAAAGTTTGACACGTTTAAAAATATTATCCTTCAAGGATAACCAAGCTATTTGTCAGTTATAAAAACTCAAACAAATCATCTATTGGGTTGTCCGGAAAATAATGCAGGATTTTGGTATTAAACAAAAAAAAAGAAACTAGTTACTTTAAAGCAATGTTCTTTAATCAAAATAATTNCATTCATACAAATGAGTAATCCTGTAAACGTAAACAGAATATTTTATATAGATTTTTTTTAATGAAAACTTAAAATCCTGCATTATTTTCCGGACAACCCGATACTTTCTCTTAGCCTTTCCAGAGGCTTTTAGAATAAAAAGTTTTAGTTTCAGAGAAGTCAGTAAACAGAAAGTATAAAAAATATCGTTGATGAGGGAATTTTTTTTATGAATATATAAATTTTATGTCGTGCTTTAAGCTCGTGCCAATTTTTTTAAATCTCGATGTTTTTTAAGTTAAAGTATCAATAAACGTCCATAATCAGTAAAAATAGATGTCAAAATGATTCTCGGGAAAGGGAACTTTTTAGACGGGTTGCCAGAGTCAATTTTATATTTAATGCCGGTGACGTTTGAATCCCACCATTATCCTAAAAACCTTTTCTCTCGAGGAAGTCGGTTCCGAGGGAAATCCGTCCCCCTTCTATTTTATGGAGATTTTATGACCGCCTCGCGCAACCCTCCCGCCAAATTTGGTAACCCTCTTTCTTTAATGGAACAGATTTACGACAATACGCCTTAATACGTATAAATATTTTGTAGGGGATTTTTAATTTTAGGATTGTAATGTTTGCCTCTTGTTTTACTTTAAGTATATGCGTGACTGTAGTCGTGCTCAACGTGCACTTCCGGTCTCCCCAGACTCACAAGATGGCACCTTGGGTGAAAAGAGTGTTCATACACATCCTTCCGAGACTTCTCGTCATGCGGAGGCCTCAATACCAATTCGAGGCCAACAGGTATAAAAATATAACAAATATGATTTATAATATTTGCGGGTTTAAATGGATTTAATTTTTTAATGTGAAGGTTCAGCAAAGGGCTCATGATGCGAACTAGCAGACAGGGCAAAACTGAACTATCTTCTTACTATCCTTACAGAGGAGGTGCTGGATACCTGGATAGCCCGCTATCAGCATCGAAAGAGAGACTTTCTCCTGACAGGTATGTTTTATTCAAATTTGTTTGACGTTATATATGTTTTTGTCCAAACGTATATATTACTACCAGGTTTGTGAGTCATGGATTTGGACCAAACTTTTTTTGGTGATTCGTTAATATAAACATAACATAACATATAAATTTAAATAGAATATATTTAGTAGTCTATTGACCAAATTACTTCTTTCAATCAATTAAAAAAAAAATTGAAAATCGAAATTTTCGGTTTTTAATATTGTTAATTCGCCGTTTTTCATGTTCAAATCAACTATGCGAAAACGCCATTTTATAGCATTTTTTATGTAGATTGCAATTTTTTTTAAAAGCATGCACAATAACAACAAAAAATTGCTAAAAACCAAATATTTTCCGAGTAAACTAGGTCATCAAATTTGTTTTCCTGAAACTAATATTAAATTTCGTTTTAGCACCTCTAAAGACCTATGAATGTAAATTTTTATCTGAATTTAAATTCAACGTCTTTTTGATCTCTAAAGCTTTTAGTTTTTTTGAGAAATCGTTATCAGAATATATGATTGAAACAGATACTATTCAAAAACTTGTAAAGGGATATTAAAATCATACAATTTGTTTTTCGTAAAACTAATATGAAATTTTGTTTTAGCACCTCTTAACACGTCTGAATGTAATTTTTTATCTGAATTTTAAGTCAATGATTTTTTGACCTCTAAAATTTTTAGTTTTTTGGAGAAATCGTTATGAGAATATCTGTTTGAAACAGATACTATTCAAAAAATTGTAAAGAGATATTAAAATTATACATTTTGTTTTTCTTGAAACTAATATGAAATTTCGTTCTAGCACCTCTAAAGACCTCTAAATGTTATTGACATAGTTAAGTATGTCATTCTAATGTTTGTTTTCATAGAGATATCCTCTCCATTGCTTTATTAGTAATGGACTGCCTAAGTTATGAAACCTTATTTACTTCTTAAGTAGTAATATAAAATTACTACCTTTAAACTCAATTTCCTGAAATTTTCAATTTCGGTCACATATCCTATCTAATTTTAATACTTGAATGAGAGGGGTCCGCCCTGGATTTTGTTCTGTGAAAAGGGTCCGATGGCTAAAAAGTTCGTGAAGCCCTGCTCTAACACAAATGCCGAATAAATAATGTTCGGTTTATTTTAAGAACGAACGCAAAATCTTGTAGATGTCAAGGTCGATAAATGATCACCAATGTCTTTTTTTAGTATTTGCGAAGGCCTATCGGGATTCGGGGGCAGCTGTCAGATCCATGGACCGTCTCTCGTTTCCGCTGACACAGAGGAGATAACGTTGAGCGATTCCAAATCTCCGCCACCCATTATCAGAAGCCCTGCCTTCTCCCATTCCAAGTGTCCGCAGACCATGCACAAATCCTGTTTTTGCGTGCGTTTCATCGCTGAACACACGAAGATGCAAGAAGATTCTACAAAGGTACTGCATAGATTTAAACATCTTTGGGATTTTTAGACATAAATACACTTTTTAATTTTTTTTTAAATTATAGGTTAAAGAAGATTGGAAGTACGTTGCTATGGTCCTCGACAGACTTTTCCTTTGGATCTTCACTCTGGCCGTTTTCGTCGGAACGGCCGGAATTATTCTACAAGCGCCGACACTTTACGACGACAGAATTCCGATCGATAAAAAATTTTCGGATTATGCCTCGACAGTCGTAAGGTGTCCACCTCCTCAATAATTTCCGCCGGCATCTAAAAGTAAGACATCTGTAATATTCATATGCGAAATTATACATTATGTTGAGTTTTGGATAAAATATAAACCTTTAAACGCAATATAAACATAACATAAACATATAAATTTAAATACGTTATATTTAGTAGTCTATTGACCAAATTACTTCTTTCAATCAATTAATCTTTTTATGTAAGTTTTTAGTTGAAATAAAAAAGTCAGTGCCACGAGCGGGATTCGAACCCACGATCTTCGGCTAGATACGCCGCTGCTCTACCTCTTGAGCTATCGTGATATCAATCCCACATTTATCTTAATCTAATTTAAAAAGTTTAAATGAAGTATATACAGGGTGAATTGCTACTCGTGCTACAAACTTCTCCAGTAGATTCTTCACCCTAAAATGAACAAAAAAGTTCATATTGTCCATGGTCCGATTCTCAACCATTTCAGAGTAATTTCGCTTTTTATCGATTTTGAAAGATATCACGTCCTGGCGTCGGAAAATCGTGATATCTTTTAATCTAAACATTTCTCTGAAAAT